ACACAGAGACGCTTTTGAACTCTATTGAGACTGTAAAGTAAGGACTTAAGAACGTCTGTCCATATATGGGTGCAGTATTCCATTTTCGGCCGGATCTGGCTGTTAGAGTAAAGCAGGAGGAGCTAGGTACTTACTGGAGCGGTAGAGAGAACCGATCATTTTTCCGATCTCTTTAGTAATGGATTTTATCTACGAGTTCCACTTGAGGTCTGGAGTATAAGTTCTAATAGTCTCTCGTGGCACGGGTCCCCCTTGCAAGATCACCTCTTTAACGCGATAGGTGAATGTTCTGTGTCCACTCGATGATAATGGAATGTCAATAGTTTGGTATTCGGAGGATTGAATGTGACCAGCCAGTTTTTTTGTTTTTTTTCCGCAGTGACATCTGGACGGTCAAGAAGGATAGAGCCCAGCGGCACTCCACATTAATGAGGAAGAATCTAGAAGCGTGGCCGGCCGTTCAACAAGAGTTTCATTACAAGATTTTTAAAGAACGATTCGATTGAGACACATATTGGTTCATCGACACCATAGCTATGGAACTTGTAAAGGGCTCTATGCCAAACCCTGTCAAACGCATTCGAGATATATAAAGTCAGACCCGAACCTCGCTGTTCTTATCTAAAGCTTGATTGACAAGTTCAGTTATAACCGTAAGCACATCGTTGGTTGACCTAGAAAAACGAATGACATTATGTAAGAAGGCCATGTAAAGTGAGATACTTAATCAATTCTGAATTGATTAAAATTTCTGTATTTACTTACCAAAAAAGCAAATAAATTGATGTCAGAAAATCTATCCGTTAGATACAGTTGTTAAGGATGTATTACTCTTGAAAAATCAAGAAATGAATACAATATATATTCGAATAGTTTTTTTTTTTATTAGTCCGCCATATTTTTATAACTTTACACGTTATTTTTAATGAATACACGTATTTGAGTAGTCGCTCCGTATAGTTACTAACCAGTATGTCCGAGAAATCTGCTTACAGAAAAATTTGAACGCTTTCACCAGCAGAATTTGAAACGGCGTCGCTGAAGGCAGAGGAAGCTACCATTAAATCAGACACGTTTAACCGACTTGGCCACGAAAGAAATTTAGCGCCTTTAAGCAAAATTCTTCCTGTTATAGAAATTGTCGAAAATGTTAATATATATACAGTTTCGCATCCAAACGGAAACAAAGAGTTTTAAAATGAACGGTGCGCCTACTCAATAATAGTATCAACTAAAATAACGCTTAAAATATATATATATATATATATATATATATATATATATATATATATATATATATATATATATATATATATATATGGGGGGTGAAAAGTGTATATAAATAAATATATATATGTATAATTATTTATATATTATATGCGCGGTAATTATTAGAAAGCGCTGAATATCAGAGATAGAGCTAACATATTTGGTTGGATAGATATGAGTTTGTGACCTGGGTTTCACGCTTTAGCGATCGTCAGTGTCTGACGATCGCTAAAGCGTGAAACCCAGGGTCACAAACTCACATCTATCCAACCATATATATATATATATATATATATATATATATATATATATATATATATATATATGGGGTGTATGTGCTTGTTATTTCAAGATAAAGTGATGCTGCCGAGAGATGTTTAAATTTCCAACTTGACAATCGCTATCTCCTTTCGAAATTGTATTCTTCTGTTCACATCCTAATACAGTTCTGAATGAGATAACAAGGTAGACAAGGTTCTCTTGTCTAGGGTGGTAGCTAATCTGGGGGAAATATGATTCTGAATTCAAAACCATTGATAAGACAATGAGAATCTATTCTATTATCTTACTCAATATCATTGCTTCCCTATATACTGCGGTAATTAACTCATATTAATAATGTATATATATATACATATATTTTAAGACATTTTTATGTTTATAAATTCTTTTTATAGATACAAATATTTAAGTAAATACTCTGTTTTATAATAAACAGTATTAAACAACATTTACTGGCCTGAATGTCCGAGAAATCTTCATAGAAAATTTTCGTCCTCCGACAGGAATCGAACCTGTAGCCTAAACGGTTAAAGACACGTCAGGCTATATGACGGTTCCGTATAGGATACACGTTTGAAAAACAATATGAATAAAAGACAAAAAGAGAAATCAAAATTTAAATTTTAAATAATATTACATTAATAAATAAATACATTCAACAATAAAAAAAATAGTTACCCACGTACGTTGATTAAGAAAAAATGACACCACTTAACAGCCTCCAATGTTTACCTTTCCTTACGCAACTCGCTTTAAGAGCGTTTTCAAATTTCAAAGATATTTTCCTCTACGTTACTCCTGTGTATAAATACAAGTTACATAATTAAAAAGATTACAAAATGAAAATTTCGACATTAGCCTTGAGTTTCAAAACACCTTGGTAAAGGAAAGTATTCATCTGCTTTTTTTTCATATATATTATATATATATATATATATATATATATATATATATATATATATATATATATATATATATATATATATCTTTTATAAGTAGTAGTAATCTTATAAGTATAATAAATTATACTCGTTCGAAAACCTTCGGTGTTTTGATTTGCAAATAATCAAACCAATACCAAAGGGAAAAAAAGGTAAAAAAAAGAAAGAACAAAGAACATGTACGTTAGCCGAAAATAATCGTTTAGCATGCAAGTCCAACCCCCCCACCTCCATAGAAAACCCGATACAAGTAGGCAATATAACTAAATAAAGTGCTCGGTGGAGCAGACCTAGAGAGCCAGACAAACCTACCAGGCTTTCACCTAAGCGGATCTGGCTCTCTAGGTTTAACTATATATATATATATATATATATATATATATATATATATATATATATATATATATATATCAATCACATCAACGTATGTTTTTAATTTCAAAATATAATTCATAATTCTTATTTACAACCTTATTTTCAATCTTAAATGCTAATCTGGGCCTAAATTCAAATCCGAAATTAAACTGCAATTCTTTTAAATAAAATTCATTTAAACAAAAAGCTAACTTGTATTTAACACGAGAAAGAGATAGCTGAAATTTCTAGGGCGTTTAATGAGGAAAGAAGGCATCAAAAATATGACACTCACAAGATTTGTTGGAGGCAAGAGGGACAGAATAAATCAGCGCACAACTTAACTAACGAGCTTATTTAAATGGTCGGTACAATAGGGTTTAGGAAAAAAATCAAAAAAAAAAAATCATCAAGAGTTACAAAGGGCAAGAAATTGTGGAGATCCGTGTACTGAACGACCACAAGAAAAGGAACAAGAAGAGTTCATTAAGTACCTGGAACGAAGCCAAATGTTCCTTTAACCCGTTTAGTGTTACTCGCACATGTCGAGGATTTGTGTTATATTCGTACTGAAATTGCACATAATTCAATTATTTATAAGTCGGTTTGCATAAATAGGAGACTTCTAATTCTTATATTCCAGTTGTGTCCGAATTAACCATAATCTTCTGTATACACATATATTTATCGACTCGCAGGTATTTAACGTAATCTTACTAACGATTATCCGTTAACTTTAATTATTCATTCCGAAACTTCGATGTCGGTTAGAGATCTTGATTGGTCTGATAATCGATATAATCCATATTATTTATTCAGCTTCATTGTAAAATCAGACAAACTTTAACCCACCTTCAAGCGGGGATCAAGGTATAGTATTTTCCTTCGGACGGATAAACTCTATTTTATTTCTAATCTGTATTTCTGTCTTCGGATAGAACACAACAAATAAATGAGTGATATCAATCCTCGGAGACAGTACTTCCTTTATTGCACCAGAACGAGAGGATCGGTAGAATATCAACGCCAACGCGACGTTGTTTGTGGGGACTGGGCAATTTTGGGACCTGGTTTATGTGCAACCGGTTAGGCTCGCTAATTTAAACCGCCCTTGTGCCATATCCCGCCAGTGTGTGAGACTAGTAAATACCAAGTGTGGTATCTGCTTTCAGGCGGACAAATTACATTTTATCGCTCAATTCTGTGTCTGTCTTCGGACAGAGTAAAACTAATAAATGAGGGATGTCTGTTCCTGGGGATTCCAACCATGCGGCAGTACCATGTGCACGAGCTCGGGCTTCCCACTATGAACTGACCTTGTGCCATATCCTATCAGCATAGCGAGACGAGTGTGTAAATTACTCTTTTTGAGAAGTTAGACGTTCACTTACCATCTCTCGGTTGCGTCTCTGTCTTTGGGCAGAGTGCGCGCAGAGGCCCCTCTGTCAAAGGACAGAAGGGCAACTGAGGAAAATAATACTGAGAGGTGCCCTGTCCTGGGGAACAGCTGCCCGAGGCAGTACCCTCCCATTGCACCAGAGGGTGGGATCGGTGCTCGCACCGAGGACAGTGCAACCGACCGTTGCGGGGGTTGAGGGGAATTTTTGTTATTGTCCTGGATGTACGCGCTCGGGTCCCCACATAAAAATAGACCTTGTCTCACATCTCGTCCTTGGGTGGGGGGTGACAGAGTAAATACCGTAAGGGGATGAGCAAATAAAAAGTGTAGTATCTGTTCTCTCTTATTCTTAAAACTATGGGAGAAATCAAATTACGGGGATTCCAACCTACCTACAGATATTTCTCATTGCACCAAAGAGTATCAGGGAATACCGAGGCCAGGTGACAGTGGCTATGAGGACTGGTAAATGTTTGCCCTTGGTTTATTGACTCCTCAAATTAAATCTACGTTGTTTCATATCCTACCACAATATGGAGGTGGGTAAATATCGAGCAACATGTAGTAACCATTTCAATTCCTTTCAGATCATTTTGCATTCTGCTGTTCAAGGAAAAGCAATTAAAGAAACCTTATAACTGCTCCATTGCTCTAAATGCGTATGGTCGTTTTACATAGGCTTCTGGCTGAGACTTATTACAAGGTGTGACGAATGTAAGCCAACAACTAACACCCACCCCTCCCCACACCATAACCTAGATTACATACGCGTAGGCGAACGCTAAAAGAAACCCAACCGAAGCGGCATATGAAAGAAGCAACACGATTGGCAGAGAACAAACAATCAGCGAGTAGAAAATTTAGGCGCCAAAAGAAGAGACACACGAGGTGATTCGAAAAATCAGTAGCTGGCCAGATCGTGACGGGTGAAGTCATATCAATTGCAACTCCGAGAAAGCAAGCTGCGACCACATATCTCCTGAGGCAGAAAAGCGAACCAGACTGTTCCCAGTGCCGTGAACCTGAAGAGATTGTCTAGCGCAGTAGGCCATAGCAACTCCGTACATAGTTACATAAAGAAGAAAATCCTGCTGCTGACCAGAAGTGAAGATACGAACCAGATTGAAAATATAACCCCGGTCACCAGAAAGAGAAAAAGAAAAAAGACTATTATAATGAAGCTGCCCCTTAGATCACAAAAAAACATCAAATAAGTTCTTGCACCCCTTCCCCGATATAGATTTAGCTCGCAACAGACACACGAATATTATGTTAATGCAAACAGCATGACACATGTATGATTAGAATATTAATGAATGTCCTGTTATATGTGTTGGGTCTTGCATTCGTCGTCGCTCATCATCTCCCAACGCTATTGTCATTCATCCCTTCTTTTTGTTCATTAAATTATTATATATGTTAATGTTCTTTGTTTTGTCCATCTTTTGTCTGTGGTCAGTTGAATGTGCTACATAGGGAACCTAGGAATATTAAGTTCAATTATTTCTAATTGAACTAACATTTATTTTTTTGTTATAAAATCTGTATCTATTCTGCCGATAATCCTTCAATGCAAGGGAAGCAACTCTAACCTTTATTCTGGGAATCTTTAACGATAGGTTAATCAAAGAAATAAGAAGGAATATTATCGTGGCAGGATATATTGATCCTAATCAGGCGTTATCTATCCCTGCGGTGGCAACGCTCTGGGGAGATCTATGATACAAGGATAGAGAAGTTACAATGCTTGGCTTATATCGACACTTGAAACAAACCATTTCTAACATGCCATTATATATATATATATATATATATATATATATATATATATATATATATATATGTGTGTGTGTGTGTGTGTGTGTGTGTGTGTGTGTGTTAAATATCTGTTTAAGCAGATGCCAATAACCACGTCAATACTTTCATGTCAAATGAATAAGACAAATATGTGAATCACACATATTTACAAGACTCTCCCATTGCTTTGCACGTATGAGTGATCAGCTCTGTTCTTAGAAACGAAGTCAGACCCTGCGCCCATAGAGTTTGATTATAGTGGTGAAGGCTGGTGCAGAACTAACCACACTTTTTTGGTACATACATTGTGCCTCAGGGTCCCCAAAAGATCTTCATCAGGTTTTGAATACAGAGTTATCTTACTTTTAGACTGGTTGCCAACCAAGGCTATAGGGCCCAAATTTTGATATTTACCCATAAATGAGGGCAGCAGCCGAAGAGACGGTTTCATATTTTTACAATAGCAGTTGATCGCAATTGAATGCAACGAATTCGACTGCATTTCGAACTCGGCTCTCCGATTTATCATTCCAAGCCGCTATCCAAAACATACAGAGAGAGAGAAAGAGAGAGAGAGTGTGTGTGTTTGTGTGTGTGTGTATGTGTGTGTGTGTGTGCGTGTGTGTGTAATAAATGCGAATGTCAGTGTGTCCCCTTTTGCAACTTTACTCTTAGAAGATGTAGCCCAACTTTTCATACTATGTTAAAATCACGCCGACTCCATGAACAAATGAAAAACATTCCGGGCCGGATCCGGACCCAGAATTCTGAAATTTTATATTTCCAACTTTTCATTACTGCGATTGTTTCCGGATTCCGCCATCTTGGCTTCTACTGATAAAACCAATTAAACAGACAAAACTCTATAACTTTCAATAGCTCATGTTCAAATGAAAAAATTTCTGTTCTCAATTTACGGTGTTTCAAAATAAAAATTGACCGTGTTTTCAACTTAACACCTAGAGGATGTCATCCAATATATCATACCATTTTTCCATCACGCCGACCCCGGGAGCAAATTTAAAATATTTCGGACTTTGTCTGTAATCCTGATATTTTGGATTTCCATGTTTTCATAACTGCGATTATTTTCGTTGATTTTTTCCGTGATTTTTGGCGAAAAGTTTTTTTATAAGATAACAATTTTTATAACTTCGCAATAAATATGGGAATTAACAGCCATGAAATAAAAACAATTGCTTGTACGGAAAGTAAGGATCTATATACATCAAACTGTTTTAAAATTAAGTGGCGGCAGAATAATGATAGCTGAACATTTAGAAGTTACGCTTAAATATTAATGCAGCGATGAAATTTGAATTCTTCTGTATAACATCTACTACTCTCTACCTATTGTGATAAAAGTCTAATGAAGAGCCCCCCGGCAGTAGCTAGAGCGTCTTTTACGCTATATATATATATATATATATATATATATATATATATATATATATATATAGAGAGAGAGAGAGAGAGAGAGAGAGAGAGAGATATATATATATATATATATATATATATATATATGAGCTTATATATATATATATATATATATTAGCTTAATATATATATACATATGAAAATTTCTCCGATTTAATCGGTAGAGAAGACAATATTTATTAATAAAAATGACAATAAGGAAAACTGGTAATTGCTGACGCGTTTCGTCCAATGTGGACTTTATCAAAGCAAAATACGAAAATGAAATTAAATAAACAAAGTAACTAATAAAAACAAAAAACAGAATGTACCTAGCAACTGGAATGTGAAAACGCTATTTTCATATTTTTTAAATGAAAAATAACGTCTATTGTCACGTGTGGAGAATATTGTCATTATATCTGTGAAATGTATTCAACCATTTTCTTTGATTTAAAATATTTGTTTGTAAGAGCATTAATTTCATAAAAAAAGAAAATTAATATTTGGTTAATTTTTATGGCGGCACTCTCAGAGAAGCATTTTTAAATCAAAAATGGTTTTGGAGAGTGCCTATTGTATTAGCTAAAGAGAAAGAGGCCTCACAAAAAAAAAATTATCCAAATATTAATTTACGCCCACTCAGAAGGAAAGTTTTTTTTTCCCTCAAATTTCAATTTTTTTCTTAACAAAATTAATTCTTACAAACAAATATGCACAACAGATTCATAAAATCGAAAAAAAATGGTTGAATACATCAACACAGATATAATGACAATATTCTCCACACGTGACAATCTCTGACGTTATTTTTCATTTAAAAAATATGAAAATAGCATTTCTCTACATTTCAGTTGCTAGGTACATTCTGTTTTTGTTTTTATTAGTTACTTTGTTCATTTAATTTCATTTTCGTATTTTGCTTTGATAAAGTCCACATTGGACGAAACGCGTCAGCAATTACCAGTTTTCCTATTGTCATTTTTATTCATAAATATATATATATATGTGTGTGTGTGTCCGTGTGTGTGTGTATGCGCACACAAACACGTCCTCTAAAATACGCAAAAATGAAAATAACGTTAAAATTTATTTTAACCGATATATTTACCAAAATTCCACAAAAATATTTTCCAATACTAAAAAGTATATTTATTCAGTAAAATTTCCATTGGCTTCAACCACGGCCTCCAGACGGCTTTGAATTCTCCTGCAACTCTTCAGGGCGGTCTCCTTGCCATTATCCTTGCCTTTAGTACATCTTTTGGGTTACAAGAATTTTGTTGGTCACTCACTCAACTGCGCACCAGGTTGTAGCCTGGGTAGTTATGTGGCTAGATATAATGCGGTCGCAGAAATTGTCTGACGGCCTTGGCTGTGTTATCCTGCTTGTGTAGCATAGTGAAAATTCCTGTTGCCAGACGTAGGGTCTTTCAGCAGCCATCCTCTTGACCCAGGGCAGTACTATCTCCTCTGAGGTCCCCATCAGCAAATTCAGGAGTCCTTTTCTTGTCAGAACGATCAAGGTGAGTTTTCCTTCCTAATCACCATTAGATTCATCCAAGACTTTCCAAATCCTCTACACTGTCAGATACCCAAACACTCTGAAAATGTTCGTATTGGAGCTACCGGTGCGAATGCCAAGCAGTAGAGCATGCCATTTCCAAATTTTTGGCGGAGTGAATTACGTCATAATTCTCATTTTCTCATAGCCCAACTGAACCTACTTATACTGTGCCATCGACAAAATCAAAAGCAAATAACGTGCATTAAAAAATTGCGACAATTCACCCATTGCACCCTATATATATATATATATATATATATATATATACAAATGTTTTGGAGGTACAAAATTTATATATAGTTTTAAAAACAAGGAATGTATTGATTTTAATTGTAAAAGTCTCTAGGGTCCTTTCAGCCAACATCTCATCAGGAGACAATCGTTGGATCAACGAAAAGGATATTAACGACAATGAAGAGCAAAAAGAGGGGAAAACACTAAAATAACAAACAAGTGTATATATTTGTAACGAGGGGGGGAAATAATCGTGTAAATAAATTAGCGAGGGGCAGTTAAAATAAAATATCCCCAACAGATTAAGAGACTTTACAAATTCTTTCTGCCGGCAGAGAGAAGGTTTCCTTAATCTATGCAGACCGATTCCAAAATCTTCAAATGATTGTTGGAATCGGCTGTATGAATAATTTTAAACCACTCTTTTTTAAACAACTTGGCGCAGGCTATATTCTCAACTAAATGTTGAGCAATAGCCGATTCCATATTCATGGGGGGGGAAGATAGCATATTCTATCTATCTTACCAAGTCGTATTTTGGAAGGTACATGCTGATTGATTCTAGTTTAATAAATGCAAGGTTGTACGCCCCACATAACCAGCAGCACACTGGCAATTAAATTCATATACTAAATTACTCAATTTGATGTAGGGCAATACATCCTTGCGAAAAGACGGAAACACAGACCTAGTTCGAAAAATGCTACGTAAAGCAACTGATGGGAAACAACCGGACACCGACTTGCTAACCTGCTTAATTAAGCCCTGACCCCTATCCCCAATCCAGGGAATCTTCAAATACACCGGACATTTAGAAGGCCCCTGGATTTTAGGGGAATGAAATTCCTTAGTCTTCTTACTAATAATATAGCCAATAGGGGCATACGGATAGCCGTTACTGAGGAAAATCTCCCTAATGTTTTCAAATTCACGGTCCAATCTAATAGGAGAACAAATTTTAAGCGCTCTATACACCAAGGTTTTAACAAAATTGATTTTCCTTGATGCAGGATCAAATGAACGCCAATTCAAATAAAGACCCGTAAAGGTGGGTTTACGATAGATGCTAGTAATAAAACCACCTCTACTGCGTTCAACAAAAAAAATATATATACAGCTAAAATTCCCTTGGTATATAACCTAAGTGAAATGTAATAATGAAAAATATTATATTTGATCCACAAATAGAGCTC